CGTGCTCTTCCAATTATATAGGGCACAGCACTAAAGCGATGGCGAGCCCAGGGCATCAAAACACTTTTGTGACATTACATAGGAAGCCCGGAGGCCAATAGGCCAATTTTATTGGTGTCAGCAGGAGTTTTCCCTAGTCGTTTTGTTCTTTTGGTCCAACAGGATGCCCCCCACTCTACAGCACAGTGCAAATCTCGGTGAATGACATGCATTTTTGACCATCTAATTGTTTGATTTCCCAAAACATCCCTTGAGTTGACGGTATACGCAATTGTCAGGACATAGGCTAATTGAAAACTTGTTGGTTTCATTTTATATCTGGCGACAACGAGGTTGGATCTATAAAGTTACTGAGTATAAAATGATTATACGCTTGCTTTTTATGCGAAGGACAAAAATCCACGTCTTCAGCAGTGGACTTAAGAATTGGGAGAAGTGGGAAAATGGGAGATTGTCCCTTTAACCCAAAAAAAAAATAAAAAAACCGGCAGATATCCAAACGCCATTCGCATAGGCTAATATGTGCGCTGAGATAGTCCTTGTCCCACATGGCAAGAAATACTTTAATTAATAGACAGGACGTCTTGAAAGCAGCACTGGCAGTCTGTAATATGATGAACTGCTATTGTCGTGGTGTCACCACAAATGTTTCCGATAAGAAAAAGCACCCAAGGATCAAAGACTATAAGCCTCTCAATTTCCTCCAGACGCCTCTACTTTTCTGCACCTACTTTCTATTTTTTTCGCGCTTTTCTCTTTTTCTCTCTCTCCCTTAAACATCTGAAACACACAAAATCCTCTTCACTGCATCTATAGGATCCGCCCCAGGTTAACAGGTCAGCAAAGCTGTTGAAAATAATTGCATATTAATATTCCGTTGCAGGAGGACTTACGCAATCTTTCGACATTTTAAAAATGATTAACGTCAAATGTCATTCGTACAGACTGACTCTAATGACACGCTACTTAGACACATTAAGTCAAGTATTTACGGCTTTTTGTCGCATCCGATAAAATATGATTTAGATATAGGATAAATATAGCTATAGCCTATATTAAACAATCCACAGACAATATGTAATCAATGATAGACGGAAACTATCCGTCAAAACTATCCCAAAACGAATTCAAAGAGAGCAGTGTAAGAATTTATAAAAGAAAAGCAGTCAAAAACAGAAGGACACTGGATTCGACGTTTTCCGATATTCGATTCGTTCCACGAATTAAGGACCTGGATTTGGTGCAGGCCTGGTTTTTGTATGAACTGCATCCCGGGTGGAAAATTATTTCCTCAGCAAAGTGCAGGACTGATGTTAACCAGCATGTAATTCAGTTACACTGCAAATATTTTACAAGGCAACGCCGTTGAAACTAAACGGGTGCTGTGGTGTCATGACCTGTGGATTAGCATATTTCACAGCATAGTCTCATCATTAGACGATGACCTTGCAAAGAGATTGGTTAGACAAACGCCAGACTTGTTCTATTAATTTGCACTATTGTTACAGTCCATTACTGCCCAACAACAGTTTAATCATATTTATGTGCACTCTAAAAAATGCTGGGTTGTTTCAATCCAACGTTGGGTCAAATATGGACTAACCCAACTTTTGGGTTAAAACTTTAATTAAAAAATGTAACCCAACAGCTGGGTTAGTCCATATTTGACCCAATGTTGGGTTGAAACAACCCAGCATTTTTTAGAGTGTGCATTCTAATTACAGCTGCTGCGACTAATAATAGCAGGGAACGCTTTACACAGCAGGGCAGTAACAACATATTTGGATTAATTACTACAGTGAAAAGAACAATGAATAATGACCAGAATCTCCATAAAACTCTTGCACATTAACAACAGTTCATTTGTATTAATCAGTAATTCTGTGAATATACATTTATTTAAATAATGTATTGTAAAGTCTGACCTATTGGCTAATAATAATAATAATAATAAATTACAAAAACGCTCCCTCTCCCAAAATTCTAATGAAATGTGTTGGGTAGCAGTGTGGGGAAAGGGGAGGTTAATCCGAGTTTAATACATTGATGCAGAGCGCAGGACCGCGGCTGTGATGATTGTGTTATCTCTTCCCAACATTTGGGTCTCCCTCAATTTCAGCCCAGCCAAATAGCTGCGAGAAAGTGCAGATGGAGTGACTCTCGATGCCTGAGGAAAAATATTAATAGCTAAATAACTTCCCCATACTTTCACTAAATCTCTCTCTCTTTCATTCTCTCCCTCTCCATTCCAGATGGATTTGTTTGAAGTGGTCTCCCGACTCATCCTATGGTTTCTTTTCTTCAAACGAGGCTTATTTCAAAGTCTCAAATATACAGTAAAACTTTAGTTTCTCTACATATATCTGGGAACTATTACCCGCGTGCCAACACCTTTCATTCTCTCGATGTAATTGGTCTTTTGCAGCATTCTCAAAATGAATGTTCCGCCAAATGCACATAGGAAAATTATATTTCAATTCTTTCGATTTTATTCATTGAGTTTCTTCTGTAAATATCAGGCCTATAACTCTCGTTCAAATGTGTTCGATTTCTCAAGCCAAACGATTCATTTTCAGCGTGGTCACTCAACGAGATAATTGAATATGCGTAGTGCCACCCTAAGGTCTTGTAGAAAGTCATCTTTTTAGTAATTTACCTAGATCAGGTAAGAAATGCAGGTAATCCACTGGTTTGTTTAAACGATCTTTTGCGTTGTTCTGTGGGATTAGTCCCTGAAAGCCAAATGGTTTAATCAACTGAGGCTGAATGGGGAATCAGTCGATCTCCATTAATTGGCTGACCATTTTTTCTCCGGGTCAAACTTAAGTTTTAAACCTGCATGATTCTGGACAAACAGTAGTGTTTGGTTATGAAGCCAGGAGTCATTTCTCTTTGTTCAATAATTTCATACCCATAGTAATACAAAACTGCTCAATTTGTCCACAAATGGCGTGCTTGCGTCTCATTCTTTTGCTATGTGTTTGTGCGTCAAATTAACTAAAATAGACCAAAATACAATAAAGCAATATTATCAAATAAATATACGAACAAGTGTGAGAGAAAAAAATGTACAATCTCATGAAGTTGTGCTGAGGGCTAGCCAGTGGGGGCCGTTTAAAGATGAAAGCGAAGAGAAAGAAAAGGCTCAATTTAATCTGCTTTAAAACCTTTCAAAATAACGTTTGCTTGGAACTCAGAGAGTGAGAGCTGATTGGGGATAAATAAGTTTCTTACTACGCCTGTGAGCTATACACCCATCTCCAACACAGCCGCTTGTTCAAAAGACACATTTTCATTACGAACTCTAATAAGTCTTAACATTATTAAATGCCAGTTGGATGATCAAGTGAAACAAGCCCCGAGAAAAATCTTTTCACGTCTGCAAAAAGATTGCATTTTAGCCCCATCTCGTTTGCATGACACCATAAAGCTCAAATGTAAAAAGACATTTCACAAAATGTAAGACAAACGTTGAGTGATTTTGGAGATGTAAAAAAACATTACTGATATTTATACAAATTATTCATGAATCCTAGCAGATATGCATGCATTCATCAGATTCAAATGTTCATATTCTTAATGCACAGCGTTTAGGGCAATGGCAGAAAATTCTAATCACGGATTGTCACTTTGTATATCTGTAATCCAATAGCTGTGGCTTCTGCTGGCCGGTGAATCTGTCCACAGAGGTTGCATGAGGGTTTTGAGTTTCGCGCGCAAGCACACATACACAAACACAAACATGGGTTCCAAAAACAATACAAATGTAGATCAATCGTGCACACGGTTATGTTAAAAGCCGCTGTAAATAATGCAGAAAGGTACGCATAATCCGCATCCTTTTCATGAACAAAGAATAGCCCTTTGCGATATTAAAAAATTGGAAGAAAAAAAATTGTGCTGTTCCACGTATTGATTTTTAGCTAACAAAAAATATATAACCCGACTATTTTTTATTTTTTTACAAATAACCATACGCGTAAAAGACTAAACCACCTCTCTAAAGGTCAGCTAGGAAGCACAATAGTGATTCCAAAAAGAGCAGTGGGCATTTCCAAACAAGAATAAAACATTTTGCACCCTCCAAATCTCATTCTATTCCAACAGACGATTCCATAATATTACAAAACTATCTACCAGCAGGGTGTATTGAATAATTCATCTCTCTATAGTTCCCATCTTGGCCTTTTGTTAAAAGTTTCCCCCCCTTTACGGATTTTTGAATGTGAAAGGAAGGGTTCATTCCTTCTTTCGAAGCCTTGCTTTTAGGCTTTGCTTTGTAGCAGATTCCTCGCTCCAAAAGAGCTTCAGTGCAGCAGAGATCTGTGGACTGAAGTTCATCTTCAAGTGTAAAAAAAAAAAAAAAGACTATCACAAAACCGACAATGTTTTGTTTACTTCAAAAAGACAATCGTATTGTTTGCTTAATTTACATATTTTTTCTACCGAAATATTAACATGGGCTATTCTGGACAAGACAATTAAAAATGAGCTCAAATAGACGATTGCATTATTTCATATTAGCATACAAAACTGAATAACAAAAATTTTAAAAAAACCTAAAGATAATTAATATTATTACAGAGTTGTTACGGGAAATACTGGTTACCAGTTGCCAGATGGAAAGGTCTGTTAATGTGCGAATAAGCGTGCCGAATTATCGCGAGAACCAGCGGGCAATGTTGAACTTATGGGCTGTAATTGATATTGATTGCCACATCGGTCATCTGTCAGTTACCGTTTTCAAGGGACCGTTTACTCAGCGTCAAATGAGTCTGTTGTACAAATAGATCAAGGCCTAAATACCATCCGTCAGAGCCAGTATAAATACACACAAAATCAACCCCCACAACTAAATCAGCTGAACACAAAAAGCATACACCGATTTCATGTACAAATTTAATGTGCAGAGTAAAAGCCCAAGAAACTCAAGCGCAAAGTTTATTTAGACAAGGTGTTTTTTTTCTGCATACGGTTAAGATCAAATGAGAATGATTTACCTTTGTCTCCCAGTATGCCGTCAATGCTGTGCTTAGTTGTTTTCTCCCCACTGTCATCCTTTTTGTCACAATCGTCGTCGTCGTCTTTTTTGCCGAACCGCGCACGAAGAACCCGGCTGATAGAACTTACTGATGGGATCATTAAAAATAAATAAATAACTAAATAAAAGGACACACAGTAAACAAAATATAGTATAATAATATAATGTGAAGTAAATACATTATATTCGTAATTTATAATTAATATTGTTAGAATGAAATAACAATATAATAAAAATATCTCATTTTATTTTCAATTCAGTTTGTTCAAATAGGCTAAAATGAGCGTGATAGAAATTACGCTGCAGGTATGAGATGAGGTGATGTGGACATGATAAAAAAAAAGGGGCTGCTTACCAGATGAGGCCTCACCTGAGGGAACTGTACTTCTGTCACACACACCGTCCTTCAACAGTTTATCCCGAATCTCCCAACTGAACATGCCGGGATTTTCACGCTTGTATTCTTCGATTCGTTTTTCCACGTCAGGTGTTGCCACCTGCTTTTGTGTTTGATTGAAAAGGCGAAAATACGAAGAGAAAGAAAAAAAAAAAGGAAGCATGGGTGAAAAGAAAAAAGACAGCAGAACAAACTTTAGTACAAATTGTATATAATGTGTTTCCGTTCCCTTTCCTTATCAACTTTTCTCAAACGATTTAAAATGAAATATTTCATTAGCTTTGGAAATAAAAAATAATGCAAGAATAAAAATAAATAATCATAATAATAATAAATATCTTATTAAAAATAATAGGCTATACTTACTCTGGGTTTACTTCCTCCTATTGCTCCAGGACGGATCGAGCCAGTTTCTTGATACCGGCAGAGGATTTTGGACACACAGCCGTGGGAAACGCGAAGTTGCCGGGAGATCATGCAGGGACGGATGCCGTGGTGAGCCATTTCAACTATTTTGTGGCGTATATGATTTGGCAAAGGCCTGCCGTTGATGAACACTCCGCCAAGCTGATTCACTCGACCTTGACCCAGAGGAGTTGAAACTGCAGTAAAGAAATGGGAATTAAATCTAACTTTGGCTAGCTTTCACGTAAAGTTTAACCTCTTAAAATGCGTATCTTTTTTTCCTCAAAAGTAGGATTAAAAATAATAACAATAATATGTTTTTATCATTGATAGGCTATACGAATATACCAATAAACATCAGAAGCGAATAGTAGAACCACGCGGTTTAGTTTAACTGTGTTAAAATAATAATAATAAATTGTTTCATTGTTCTACTAAAGAAAGAAAGAAAGAAAGAAAGAAAATAATTGAATTAGAATCTGGCAAACTGGTCAACATTCGCAGGTGTCTTGAGATGCGCTAAGAAGTCCTGTCAATTAATTAAAGAAAACCAAGCAGAGAATTGTGCTTAATGTAATTTAACAGATTGCTCTTGAGCAGTCCTCTCGGCCTGGGTGCGATCTGCTTCATTATTTTATGCGCTCGATGTTGTTCAAATATTAGTCTTAGAGTGCATTCTGGATCCACTTGCGCCACTAGATCAATTCAACAAATCTTACAGGGACGGACAGGCTTAGTATATTGAAGTTTTATTTGAACCAGCAAATTGAGTATTGCCAGCAACAAAATTGACCCTTTTTTGTTTTTTTTTATTCTGGTGCACTTAATGTACACACAATATGCACACGCGTTCTGCTCAATAAAATGTGATAAATCCAATAACCCTTTTCTAATATATACACACACACACTTTAAACTTGAAGTAAAAACGAAAATCGGACACATGGTGTACTCACAGGTGTAATATAGACTACACTTTAAACTCTTCAAAAACCTTTTTGGCTAGAAGAAATCTGTAGGCCTGGTATTAATTACAACAATTAATTACAGTAAAACAAAGTACCTAACAACTGTCCAACCAACCTTCCAAGGGGAATCCAGTGTGGGGATAGTGCTGTCCTGGAGCCGGTCGCATCATTCGCGGTACAGTTCCCGGTAAAGATGACATTCTGCTTTTAATAAATGACTAGGCACAGTAAGGCTGAGGTTTAAACTGCGAAAGCAAGTCCAGGCTTGTTGATGAATGTTTCCTTAATGACTAAAATTCACTTAAGTCCTGTTTCAACAAGGGGGAAATAAAAAAAAAGTGTTATCCAGCCACACTATCGCGGGGATGTGAATCCTCCAAAACACCAAACAAAGATAAACAGTGTGGTTTGGTGCGGAGAGGGTCATGAACAAAATAACTACCGCAAGAACAAGAAGCAGCGCGCGCCAGGGAGGGGGTACTCCAAACGCTCTCTAGTGAACAAAGGTTACTTAATTCTTTGCAGTGTTTTCTTAAAAGGTCTGATAGTTTTGGATGACAAAGTCTGCTTAGGGGTTGGGAGTAGTTGAAGTGGATAACTTTAGCGCGCGGTGTAGGAGGGGTGTTGCGCGCGCCGATATTTTATTCATGTGGGCATGGAGGGGAGCAAGCAAGTTTTTTTCGACCAATCACAAAAAGCAGAGGGTAAGACAAACACACACACACACGCACACACACACACGCGCGCGCGGAGTGCCTAGCGTTTCATTCACTTCATTAGATTGCCTTTGAGCAAAAAACAATGCAAACACTTGATCGATCGACTGCCATTGTTGACAAGGCCTGAAAGTCATAAGCTTATAAAACAGCAATTTTTTATATAAAATTATACTTACATTTTTTCATATAAAAGCATGAGTAAGTGTGTTTCGTTCATTAATAGACTCTCAAATGTAGCCTACTTGGCCTATTGTACAGACAAAACTGTGCAACTCAGATGTTTTCCACTGTAGGAACGAAAATACAAGCTTAGATGACCAAGTCCGCCAATTAAAACAAATCTTGTGTTTGTGCTAATTAATGTGTTCTGTTATACCATACCATAGAACTTTTCATTTAAGTAGCTACAGATCAGCTAATAATGTTTCCTAGGATTTCCTGGGAATTGACGGAGCACTTCAATGATTTGTTTTATTAGTAGTCGTTTTAATCTTTTTAATTTAACACCACCCTCCTAAACATCTCCCCACAACGACCAAACAAAGGGAAACCAAAGAAAAAACTAATTACAGTTTCAGAAAACTAAAAAAAAAAAAAATTATTATCAGAACCTAAACACACCAGCACTAAACTAAAAGGCAAGAATGTCTTTTAAAAAAACATTAACCATTAGTTCTAATTGTGAGTAAGAACAAATAGGTTAAAATAATTATGAGCCTTATAAATGCTATAGTAAACAACAAATCTCAGTCTTCAGATTAAACGATGAAAAGACAGCAATTTTGACAGCCATTTCTAAAAGGTGAGGCTGATGAATGACAAATAGCCTACGCTTAACAATACATTTCAATAATAAATCATAATAGTTATGATGCTTAATATCAGCAATTAATTTACAATAAAAAAAACAATAAATATTTTGTGACATTTTATATACCGGTATTAAGCTATTTATATAATTATATAAAAGTAATGTTATTTAAAAGTTATGTCACCTGAAATAGTTCTTAGGTTCTTGCATCAAATAATGATTCATTAAAACATTCATCCATATGAACACACATCGACAGTCCAAATCACATTCTACATATACTAGTCAGGAAGAATCGCATTAAATTTAACTTTTACAGTCCCATGCATAACCATTGCCAAACCTACGATTAGCAGTGATTGTTTAGGTATCCTGTTCGTGTGTGCAAAGGGATGCTTAAGAACATCAAACACTGGAATTCAACTTTAAGAACAGACAGGCAGTAATGACTTGAAAGCTGTGCTTTGTTGTTAACAATGGCATCGTTAATTTGTGTGCATTGCTGGTTAATATATACTTCCACATGGCTAAGCATGTCACATCCCAAGGGACCAGTAGCTTAATGCCTTTGTGGTCTCTTGCAGAAGTCGGAGTAAAACAAGACAGAATTGTTGTTGGCACTATTTATTTGGGCAAAGACTTCGCCGAATAGGCCTATGTCTATAAAGTCCTATACATATAAGATGAAGCTAAGATCAATTTTAGTACTTCAGTTGTGTCCAATATGTCTTCTTTTTTTCCGTCTTTCTTTTTTTTATGTCTACATTCGCAACCCAATTTTCTTAAAGATAATCGTCACTTTTCAAAGACCCTTGCTTTAATGTGTCCCTTCACTATCACATCACTCTTTCACATTGCACATGCAATATTTTTTAAAATACGTTTTTTTCAGCAAGTAATCAGTTTAGTGAATTATTTAGTCTATTACACACCATACAAAGCAATTAGTCCTATAAAAAGTACACGTTTTTTTTCCAATTAGGTTGAATGTGCTTGCATTAAATATCATTTAAGAAACACACAGCTGAAACTTGCTGAAAAACAAAAACTTCCTGAATACCCTTCTTTTTACTTCTTTCTCTACAATAGTACAAGGAAATCTACACGACATGTATGTTGATTTACGTGTGGTCACTGTTGACCTAATGTAATGTGCTGCTGCTGCATATACCTACAATAGGTCTTCGTTATCTACGAGTGACAAATTATAGGACGTGCCACCAGATGGCGATAAAGAACCAAAAATATAATTCTTCAGGATCCTCTCAGTTTTATAGGTTTTCACTGTTTTATAATGTCCATAATGCACAGTCAAGCAAAAAACGCTGGTTTCGTAACAAATACTGGCTGAGATTCCATGACTGTATATGGTACTGTAATCATATATAGTTAACTATTAACTATATATTAAAAGCTTTTAGAAATTGACACACAATTACAAACAATGTTTACAGTATATAGACACATCATTGGTGTCCTGTGGACACTGAAAAGAAGAGTAAGAGAAGTGAAAGCGCAGAGCTGCATATCTGAAGCATGAATGCAAGAGGAGAGCAAGCAAAGAGAGCGAGGGAGAGAGAAAGAGAGCAGGTGCACCAAATCACACAAAGCCCAGCAGACTAAGGTTGAGTTCCGTATGACACTTTTAGCATTGGGGCAGAATAACATTCCAGCTGGAAGCATTTAAGGGTGTTAAATCACTGGCTTGGTAATGCCATTTTGTCTTCATACATCACTGAAAGCAAGGAAAGGAATGTCTGTGAGGTAGTCCCGACTTTCTCACAGGCATTCCTACCCATTTCCACAGCACAGTAGCTTAGACGAATGTAAATGCTGATTGTCTAAGATACTTCAAAATAACTAGCAAAACAGACGAGGTCTGATGCAATAGCTTTTCAATTTTTTTAAATTTAACTCAGCTATTGAAAATATCAAATCTAGCCTTTAGAGGTACTAACTATTCATTTAAACGATAAGGTTTATTTTAAATTGTAATAATATTTCACAATAACATTGTTTTTACTGTATAAATGCAGTCTTGGTGAGCATAAGAGAGCTTTTGAATTATAGTGTAAGCCATGAAACATATTTCAAATAATATAGAATATTACTCTCAATATTACTGTCACTAGCACGTCAGTCAGTCAGTCAATAAAATACTGCAAATTACTGTTGAATCGAGCTATCGGTGAAGTGGAAGGATCAGATAAAGTGACCCTGGTGCCCAATCAGAACAATAAACAATGAATAATGCAACTATTTTTGAACTACCATACATTTAATTCAATAAAATTGTACTTAAAAATTCTAAAAATCCTAAAGTTACACTCTATTTAATACAGCGCAGTTATTCCCTTGCAGGTACAGTTGAAAACTCACATCTCATAATAAAATAATGGAATTTAAAGTTTGGTCTAAAGACAGATATATTATTCTCTCTCCTCCTATCTTTTATTCAGACATAAAATGCACCATGAAGACTCTGAGGATGCCTCCATATGCCAAGCATGTGATCTTGTCAAGGAGCACCAAACCACTGCACTATGAACTCTTGTGTCTCATCTTCTCACACGATACCTCCCCTTGGTGGAAGTCTTTCATGTGCTGGTGAGTGCAGTGAAGGCTGATGGGGGGACATGTGTGAGCATCAATAGGTCGTGACCGGGAAGGTCATGCTGCGTGGTGTTTCTCTTTCTCCCTCAAACCTGAATACACGGAGACTGTTAACTACTAAATACAAACCAGGGGTCATGGGCAGGCATTTCTATAACTGAGCTGATTTGGGATCACTTTGTCACTCATAACCTGGTAAATAGTATCATGTATTGACCCTAGATGAACAATCTAGGAAACGAGAATCAGAATCAAGTATTATAGGGGCATTTGACACATTTTGGAATTCTGCAAGCCATATCATTAAATATACAATTATGACAAGTTATTTGGGTCAAGGACAAATCTGATTGTCCATGTAGAAAAAAAAATATGTTAAAATCATACACTGTCATGGCCAATACCACAAGTGTTTTTGGGTCAATGACACATCGATGACATAATCTACAATATAAAAAAACTTTTATACCATTTTCAAGCAATCAATCAATCACCAGTTACTTCGCACACCTGCAGGTGATCAATTGGTGTGTAGCACAAATGACCAAAAACAAGTCAAAAATAAAAACAAACATGAATGAATCCCGCGCACTATCAGTACTTGCAAACATATAAAAAAATAGATGTATTTATTATTATGAATAAATCTATTTTTTTATATGTTTGTAAGTGCTGATAGTGTGGGGGATTCATTCGTTTTTGTTCTGATATCATTTCAAGTTTTAAAATGTCATGTGGTCTAACCTTCAGTTAAAAACATAACATCCTCACACCTTTAATAAATGTTACAGTGTACACATCTTGATCATTATTTTCAAAAACGTTTTAAAAATATTTTTTAAGTAAAAAGTCTCTTTGCAAATATCATTATTTCATAAATATCAATAAGCTTTTGGTCATACCACATGACATTTTACCACCTGCACTAAACTTGAGTTTTCATAAAAAGGTTAAATTATCTGATATGTTCAAAGACTTATTAACCTAGACAGTCAAAATATCAAAATTCATTTTAATTCAGAAATTAAAAACATGCTCATCATACTGTAGAAAATGTGTTCAAGTATCATTGTAGGGGAGAATTGCATTTTTAATGTATTTTTGAATAAAATAACTGGTAGGACAAAAAACTAATTGAGCGCCCCATGATTTGGCCCAAATTGGCTCAATTAAATACAAAAATGTTATGATACAGCATCATCTGAATCTCTTCTGTGTTTAGCAGAATGATGAGGGTAATCTATAGCAGGGGTTCCCAAAGTAGGGGTCGCAAAGCCACAAGGAGGGGTCGCAACATGATTTCCAGAAATCAAATAATTTTTTAAAGGAATAGAAATAGCATATTTTTCCCATAAATAAAAAATTATAAGTTGAATTAAAAATAAAACTCCAACGTGGAGTTTTGTAATCCAGCATGTTGCCCACCCAACTAATTACGATTAATGTTGAAATGTAAGTAATGAGTAAATGACTATAAAATAATATTATTGTTGTTAAGACTGTTATGTTCCTTTGTGCATGTGCGCCGTTCCTTAGTGCATGTGCGCCGTTGTGCAAAACGTTTGTATACTTTAACCTCCTCAGAGGAAAGTGGGGGTCCCGAGGTACTGGCACTGTTATTTTGGGGGTCGTGGGCTGAAAATTTTGGGAACCCCTGATCTATAGGGCTGAACGGACCGTTCAGTAGCATGAGCGTGAGGTTACCTCATCTAACAAGACATGTGTCAAGGTTTATCAGCATGTGATAGGCTGGTTGTTTTTGCCATAATCAGTTTGTCTGGACCTTCCCAGAAAATGTCAGAGAAGATAGAGGTCTGTTTCATGTAGATGAAAGTAACATCCCCGATTTTACATGCTGCCCCAATTGGTTTCACTAAATCAATCTGAAAGACTAGTGCATGAAGAGAATCATTTGATGCCCCTTGTGGCTCTCCTTAACTGTGACTTTTGCCCCTTGCGTGTGTACTTGCTCTTTAAAAAAAGTCTCATGAAGAGTTATGAAAAAATGAGTGCATAAATGGATGCATGATATTCTAGGGTCCAAGTTTTATAAAATGACTTGTCAGTTCCTGTTGGTAACTCTAAAACTCTGACTGAAAGAAATACACAACCTATTCTCAGCTTTACCACACAAGTTCCTTTCTTAAACACCAAGACTTGAACCTTGATGTTTAATTTATTCATTTCATATGATGTCATTTTTTATTGTCATTTTTATGATTAGACTTGTAGAGCTCAGAGTAAACTCGGCCACATAACATTCTGCCAGTAACGACAAATGAAAAAAGTGATTGTTAAACTATACCAATATTTCTAGAAAGCCTAAACATTGATTTAACCCCCATTTTTACCCTAATTAGTCGGAGTGAGTTGGCATGCATTAAACAGGGCATCAACAATGAATCAAATCAAATTACTCTGCAAAATTTGTCTCAATTTGTTGTCATTCACTGTCCAGTGGCATGGAGGTTACAGCAAAACACTGAAACACAAACGTTAGTTCAAATGATAATCAAATTGAAGAAGAAAAATTTCCCAAATTCCTTAAAACTCAAGAAGGCATTAGTTCTTAATTTAGAGATGGCAGATACTCTTTATATATAAATATATCAATTTTATTTTGTGAAAAAAAAATTATAAAATACTTTTTACAATTTTGAATAATATAAAATAAAAATAATTGAGATATCAGTCAAGATTTTTAAATAAATAAATAAATAATTTACAGTCTTGAATAACCTTAAGAAGTTAATTTTGAGATATCAGTTGAGAATGTAAAATAAAATAAATAAATTAAGATCTTGACCAAGATGTTTTGTCTCCTAAATAAGTCAAGATTCTTTCATTAAATTTTGGCTAACCTTAATAATAATAATTGTGAGATATTTCACTTTGAGATCATCACATGGGGCAGGATGTAGTCTGAAAAAGTAAAAGCTCTGTTTTTAGTTTTTAATCAAATCATATTTTGTCACATTGTAAAGGCAGAAATAACCACATGCAATGTGAATATACTGTAGCAATCAGGACTTGTGTAATAAAACTTACTTTTGCGACCAGCCAACTAAACACATCTTTAGTTTGCAAAAGCGCTGTAAACATAGCTAATTTAGTATGGTGGTGTATTTTTTGCACTTTTCAGAGTGTTATCAGGTCATCCCAGCATCTCTAAGTTGTTTGTTCATAGATGATTATGACTGGAACAGACAGCCTTGGAATCCAGAAGAGCACAAGACCTTCATGCGGGGCAGAGCCACCTCTGGGATCAATGTCTGCATTTTGTTGATCATGAACTGCAGATCCACCATGCAAGATGCATTTTGTTTGCTAAATAATTATCTGAAGTCTCTATTCATTTGCAGATTTTTCACACACAAACAGAATGCATGATAATGATGTATGGTTGAATAACATCTGCAGTCTTTATTTGGCACAATAGGTGATTAACAGAGTAAGATGGCTTCTGGTGCTTCTCTATTTAATGCATGCATTGACTTTGCTTTATTTGAATGTTTTAATGTCAGTTTTCCGCTAATCAGAGTGCTATGTAGAAATATTTTTGAGGATTAAAAAGTTTCAAATGATTGGCATTTAAAACTGCATGGGGTCTAAGGTTTAGTTCAACTTGATTTCCCATAATACATATGTTATTGAAATTAATGCATCAGTGATGTAAATGTAGTTTTAATATATTAGTCTTTTTATAAAAATCCATTTATACATACTACACATGGCCTTGAAGTTGCCTGTGCCTTAAAGAGATGGTGCACCCAAAAAATGTAGCCACCCTCATGTCATCCTAATCTGTATGATTTTTTTACAGTGGAAGAAAAAATTATATTTTGAGAAAAATCTTTTTTTTTTGACCCTACAATGGAGGTTAATGGTAACCAAAACTGTCCAACATTCTTCAAAATATCATCTTTTGCGTTCCACAGAAGAAAGTATGTCAGTTTGGAACAACATAAGGTTGAGTAATGATAACAGAATTGTCATTTTTGGGTGAACTAACTCTTTTTAAGTATAAAAATGCTAAATAAATAGAGTTTGTATTTATGGTGGAATTTGCATATAGCTATAATTAAATTAAATTGACACTGTTTAAACTGTTTTAAGTCAGATTTTTAACAACATTAGTTTGACCAATTTAGAAATGAGCTGAAACAATATTGTTTGTACATGAAACTTCACTCAGAAATTACTAGTATATTTCAAAAATAATTACAAAGTATCAGCAAGTAACATTTTTACAGTGATGGATTTTGTCTTCTAAGCGTCTTCTAAATTTCAGTGGTAGCACAATTCCATTTTCCAGCAGCTACTCGATTATCACCCTCATTTGTAACAGACTAATATGGGTTGAAAAATGTGTTAAAACACTTCTTGAGGAAAGGTCTCTTTGAAAATGTAAACAAAATTATAAAACATCCCAAAACAATGAAAAACAAAGAGAAATATTATAATATGATCATTTTAAAGCATGCTTTGTAAAAAGTTTAACTTTATTAATAATACTTGCTCTTTTCCTTACATTAATTTTTTGACGGTGTACTGTACTCTACAATACAGCATGAGAATTTAAAATGTAAAACAATGTTTTACCGCCATCTACTGGATAAAGAAAATAATCTAATATCCACAGTGGCCTTGACGTGTGTTTTATAGCAAGTTGTTGATGTGACAATGAATGTTTCTAAATATTACTGAATATAGTAAAATAAACAATTATGACTTTAATAATACATATTAACCTCAACTACATAAATACACATTGTGACTGTACACAAAATGGGCAAGCAACATTAAAAAAGAGAATGAGGAGGAAGTATAACAGAGAAAGATTTCACTCAAATATTTCTACTGAGATAAAGTTGGTTTGACATAGGATATTAGACAGATATTCTGCCGCAAAAAAAAAAAAACTTCAAAAAAATTCTTAGTGGATGAGTATAATTGTATTTTTAAAAAATGGCTTATCTGAAAAGGATGTTGTAACGCTTTGAATTTAATTCAATAGCATGTGTCCTGAATTACATATGAGAGTAAAACCTGAATTAAATGTTCATTTAGGAATCGGAAACCAGACACACCTTTTGAAGTTGAAAAAGAAGACTGATTTTAAATGAATTTCTTCAAAGTTTGAACTTCCTCTAGTTGGCAGTAACACCGGAGACTCTGGAAGGCTTCTCAAGCTATTCTTGAATCTCATCTCTTTTGACAATGAAACCAATGTTCTTCAAGAAATCTGTCCTTTGAAGTTGAGATAGAAGATTGTATATATTTTAAACTAATTCATGTATTGGTTAAATTTTCAATAGTATGTGTTCTATTGTAGTCTAGTTCTGTGGCTAAAACCACCATCAAAAGTTTGTTCTAGAAACCAGTAACAAGACACACCCTTTGGATTTGTGATGTATTTTTCATACATTTATTACATTAAAAATCTCATTATCATTTAGCCTGCATCACTTATGATAGGCTATTAAAACCAACTGAAATAATTAAATTTAGGATGAAGTAACAAGACACGCCCTTTGAGTTTGACATTGATTGCCAAATATGTATTTTTTCCAAAATGTAAATATTATGATTCTTAATCACATTATTATTACTAATATTATTATTATTATTATTGTTTACAATATCTAACATGTGTTGTTTAGCAAATGAGAGTTGTGTGTTCGTGTGTGTGCATTTTAAGGCCTTGTACAATTTATTCACAAATACTCTACTTTAAGACATTTCCAACAACTACAAACAAACATACTGTATAGGCCTAAGACCACTGCTATAGAGAAAGCACACATCTATGTATGCGTGATTCAAGTCAACAGTTATGTATACACTCATACATAACTTTCCGGTGTGACAACTAGCCCCGGTTTTCCCTACCTTATCTGAGTCTGTGGTGTACATTCAATGTGAAGTTTCCCAAAAGCATTGCAAGTGCATCGTAGAATTATCGCATGTCCTCCAAAGGCTTCGTAACCCGAGAAGTACCTGCAATCCATCGCAGATAGAGAGTGCCAGTGCATGGTGAGTCAAACACGTGCACCTGCAGGACAAACACAAACACCTAAAGGTGCCCTCAGGTATTTTTATGTGCTGACACCTAGCGGCGGAGACGCGGCATCATTTTTTAATCATAAGTTTCAATAAGAATCACAGCATTCAAACCGCTTTATTACTAATAAGCTATAGATGGCGCAACGTGCTTTAAAATGGTATAACATTTAGTTGTCATATTCATCAGTTTTAGTTATGAGTTAGTTATAAGACTGTTACTGCTGATTAACAGCACAATTCATGAACATATCCACCTTATATTTCAACGCAGAAGTAAGCCGTTTTCTGTGAATGTGCAAGACTTCCGGTTCATTAGCCGCTGTAGGGAAATGACGAGAAGAGTAACAGTGCTGTAAACGATAAAAACAGTTTGCACTACAAGCCAGTGTGTTCATAATTAAGATAATACATTAAAATAATATGGTAAGGCACACGGTTTTGTTCAGCTAAAAATAGCTGGAAGCTGATGACACCGGAAGCCAGACCCATAAAATTTACAAATGGCTGCGCCCACTTTTATGTCCAAAATAAGGTTGATAGACTTTTTGCTTCCTTTGGTAGTTATGTGGTAATAGGTATGCCTGGAACAGCTAAGGGAAATAACAGTAGGTTTGGAGTCCACACCAGAAACCATAGACGCCAGCAGTGACTCGCTTAGGGCAGCTTACTTTAGAAATATTCCACTTTCCTGTAACATTTCGCACATTGATGTGATCATATTTTAAAGGAAGTGACTCAGGCTTTAGTTTCAAAAGCTTAACAGTGCCCTCATTATCACATCTTTGAGCAAACAGCACAGAGATAAAGACAGAGCATTCACAATAAAGCTGATATCACCTTTATAATGATATCATCAGCATATCCTCCATACTCATAAGCCAGACTTGACTTGAATAGACTGGCTTGAACAGAAATAAAAATCTGAATCAGTGATCAGAGAGAGAGAGAGAGAGAGTTGTCATCTTGGGTTTAAAAGTTGATATGACAAGGATTGCCATGATCAGTTCATTTAAAACCCGAGGATAGGAGAAATTCAACACACTGCAATTAAAATAATTCAAGAAATCAGTGTATAAATAAGTTACTTTATTTAAATAGTCTGGTGTGAAAAACTACACCAATACTGTACATTTTAGAAGTGCATGTTTCCTCAGCAGATGAACTCAAAGTCAGTTAACATTATTCACACAGGAAATATCCAAGTCATTTTGTTGAATGGACAAAATATAAGTAGCTGAAAACATTATCAGGGGTCTGATAATGTCAAGATTATAAAAAGTCTAATCACAGATCACAAAAACAACAAGTGTGCTCAACATTTGGTATGAAACACAAGCATGTTTTTTTTTGTCACGTCTTGAATGGTAGTTTAAAAAACAAAACAAAACAAAATAATAATTCTTCACTTAAAGAATAGAATACTAACCCCTGGGCCAAGTCCTTTCCATTTATGCCACTACATTTGTACTGACAAGGAGTTTTGACCACCACACTTCTTATTGGTGTAAATAACATGGCATAGTCCTCGACTTGGCTTAAAAAATGGCCAATAAAAGCCAGCAGCTGTTAATTATCTGGAATTCAGGTGAGAGTTAATTGCTAATACTAGTCTTACACCCAGTAATCATTTTTCAGCAATATCTGAATTTATACGGCTGATGTATAATGTCTCAGGAAAAAAACTTTCAACTTTACCATTGCATGTTTCAGAGAGGGAAAAATAAGACCAGCTTATACTCTGGGTACAAAGTGTAACAGTTCATCCTATTCCTTCATAAAAGGATACTGCACACTCTAATTTAACAATACAGCAAGGAAATAATACAAGAAAGTACATGGACATCAATAAATAGGGCAGCACAATTGGGAGGAAAAAAAAATTGTAATTTAAAATGCAATTTAAAAAAGCTCCAGGTTTGTTGTGCTTATCAATATGACTAAATAATAAGACCAATAATACAACCAAGCAAGAAATATTACTTTTGAAATAGATCATTGAAAAATAGAATATATTTATTCATAATATTTTTATTTTAAGAACAACTGTAAAATTACAGTTAAACTGCTTCTTAATTTCAACCGTTAAACCATCTACCATAGATTTTACTTTGGCAGAAAACCACAGGGAGACTGTAAAAATTCTAAATCAAAAGTCAAAATCCCAACTTCAGTTTCATTTTGATTAATCGTGCATCCCTACCAATAAAGGACACTTTCAGAGCTGTTCTGCAGTTTCCAGCAGTGGTAAACCAATAATTTTTTTTGTAGTCCAAAGACATACTTATCCGATCCCTAAATAGACCAGCAATTCGTAACACTGATGAATCAGTTCAGTCAAACCACATATCAGTTTATATCCAGCCTTCCTTTTTTCCACTTTAAACAAGCAAACTTCAGATTCTAACCACTCAATCACTAATAACCACTAGGAGCCTGATTCTTTGAAAAACCTCTCAAACTTGTCTAAGTACCCGGGCCGATGAGGAAGGAGGAAGTAATGGGTACTGCTGACTTGCTTACCATCTTCCATGATGGGTAGAATACAGGGGCTACGGGGAGCCGGCAAGCCCTCACAGCTCTGCTTGTGTTGAGCCTTACTGACATACTCCGGATAGGGAGCAAAGCTCTGAGTAGGAGGCATTACCCCGTTGATGTAAATCGGGAGACTTTTTGGACTAATGGCACGCGGTATGACCTGAGGGATGGGCTCCCTGGGCGGCACTTTGGGAGGTTTGTCCACATCAAAGTCATCGGTTGACCGCCACCTGCTGTCCGTGCTCTCACTGAAGCGAGGACGGATTGGGACGCGAGGCGGGACTTCAGGTTTCTCCTGCGGGTGGCTGTGGGGTGAATGGTTTAGGCTGGTCGGCCAGAAGTTGGCGGCCTTAAAGGATCCGGCAGGGCCGGAATAGGAGCGATGCAGCCGGCGCTGGGGTCTGTCTTGATTATGCGTTACAGTCTGCTCCCACTGAGGCTTCACCCCGCATTGATGTTCTCGTAACCCTTCATGATATGCAAAGTTTATCTGACCGTTTCCCCGAAAACTGCGCCTCCCCGGTAAGCCATACTGGAAAGACGAGGTTTTAGGCATTAGACACTGGCTCTCAGAGGTGCTGGAAAAAAACTCCACCTCGTTGTCTTCTGCTTCATCAGAGGACTGGTCGTCCATGTCCGGGAGGGGTGGGAGGGGCTTAGTTGTTCTCCTGGGCGAACAAGGGGGCATGTGTTCATAAACTGACAGTTTCTGTAAGGACGGAACCACCTGGTCTCCCGCAGGTGGGTGGCACTGAGAGGAAAACAGCAGCTGTGTAGGATTGGGAGTCTTGGGAGATAGACATTGAGGAGTCCCTACACAACTTTAAATGCAAATTTTGTCTATTTCTGTGTGTGTGTGTGTGTGTGTGTTTACCAAATAGTCTTTTACGCACTGCGATTACTTACAGCTAATTATGAATATTTGTATGCAATGACAATTTAAACTTTTAGTTGTGCATTGTTAGCAAAGTTTCATATGTATGTGTGTATATATATATATATATATATATATACACACACACACACTAAATACCAGCAAATTGAAAACAAATCAAATCTGAGGATGAGAGCTAACTTCTATGTGTGTGTGTGTGTGTGTGTGTTATATTATATATATGTCACGAATTCGGTCTATGGACTTCCGTTTATTCACCACCAGAGGTCACCCTTTCCATTACATTGACTCTCGCACAACACAAACTGTTGCATAGCACCCCGGACTACATATCCCATCATGCTTTGCACGATTTGCACTCATTGCACACAGCTGTTTCTAATCACCTCACTCACTATATAACACCCACTCTAACCACCTTTCTGCCGATCGGTGACATACGCTAGCCCTAGGACTATTCTTGTGTTTTTGCCTGCCATATACCTGTTTGCCATTGTTCGACCCTACCTGTTATACCACGTCTCTTTAAATAAAGCTTGCAGATGGATCCACATGTCTCACGTCTCGTCAGCCCCGTTACAGAATATATATATATATATATATATATATATTACAATATAAAAGCACTGCAAACATTATTAATATTCAGATAGAAATCTCTGTGACTGCAGTGCATTTATATTATATTATATTATATTTCGGGCTGTCGCGATTCGTCAATTTTATTTTGACTATTCGATTTTTTTTTTTTTAAATCCTCGACTTAATTTTGCTTGCGTCGACTAACCGACTAAGAGGCGCATTTCACAGACGAGAATGTATAAAACACATTATTAGTCTTTTTTTCCAAGGCTGCATGATATATTAAACCCATTTAAAAATTAAGCATAATTGTGAATTCACAAATGCTACGATTTAATTAAATAATAAGCGATGCAGTTCTAATACAGTATATGCGCTTTAAAGAGGTCATATGATGTTGCTAAAAAGAACATTATTTTGTGTATTTGGTGGAATGAAATGCGTTTATGCGGTTTAAGGTTAAAAAAACACGTTATTTTCCACATTGTACATTATTGTTTCTCCTCTATGCCCTGCCTTTCTGAAACGTGTCGCTTTTTACAAAGCTTATCGGTCTGAAAAGTCACTATCCAGTGCGTTGTGATTGGCCGAACACCTCAAGCGTGTGACAGAAATGTTATGCCCCTTACCATACTGTGATGCCCTGTTTGGCCAGAGCGACGAGACAAAAACATTAAAACCCATTATAAATGAGGCATTTGTTGCATCCAGTGGGGACATAATTACGGATTATAATGACTTACTGTCTTTTTACGAGTTGCATCACGCCGCGTAAACATAAAACCATGTCAGCATTTGTGATCGGAGAAATGACAAACAGCAAGCGCTACTCTACACTGCCCAAAAAACTTGTTTGAATAGTCAGCGGCAAATTCTTATATATATATATATATATATATGTACATTAGCTCTATTATTTATAATACATTATGTATTTTAACAGTTTTATTCAATAAAACCCTGATTTCTTGCTTTTGATACTTTATTTGAACTAATTATTATTGCCTCATAGCTATTATATATGTATTTTAAGTAATTTTAAAGGCTATTGTTCACTTACATCTATTTTTATTACCACAAAAAAAATTATTATAATAAGGCCCTATGAAATTGGATTCCATTTTAATGGTTGCATTAAATTTTAATAATCAAAAGTATCTCCAATTAATTGATTTTATTATTATTTTATTTTTATTTTTTTAATTCAGAAATACTGCACATTTACATTTTTCTAAATAAATTCTGGTAAATAATATTTCTGGTAAATACTCCTTTAAAAAGTGTTTTTTGATTTTTGACTAGAACACATGGATATGTTGTCAACTTTGATTTCAGTGATTTGGACGATGAGATGGACACTTGCTTCTTGCACTTTATGTTGCACTTTACTTTTGGATTTCATTTGGTTTAATGAAATATAGTTTAATAAAATATTCTTAAGTAAAATTGTTGATTTTTTTTGTGGGAAATTAATCGTTTAGATTAATCGATAAATTAGTCGATAGATTAATCAAAATAAAAATAGTCGTTAGTGGCAGCCCTAATTATATTATGCATTTTACACACACAAATAGTTAGCTGTGGTCCTCAGAGTCAGATTTGATTTGTTTTCAAGTTTGCTGATATTTAACATTTACTAAGTCTTTTAGAAGTATTTCCCTTGGCAGAGGAAAAAAACCCATAAAATTATAAGTTATACAACTACTATAGTAATGCTGATATTCAAGGGGACAGCATTCTTGCTGGTTTTATATATATATATATATATATACACATACACACACACACACACTAGATACATACATACACACACACACACACACACACACACACACACACACTTTTTACACTCAGTTATTTTGAAACATCACCATACCTCACCTTAATTAATCCTTTCCTTTATGTAATTACACAATAATGTATGCAATAATATATCATTAACGCCCATCAGACACTCCCACTTAACTAAAGAGATCCCAATTTAATACACGAGTTTCACAATTTGAGTTGAATTACTGAAATAAATGAACTTTTCCACGACATTCTAATTTATTGAGATGCACCTGTATATATTTATACATACATATATATATATATATATATATATATATATATATACATAAAATATAAAAGGATGCATTGTTTCATGAACATTTTGTTGCAGAAAGATGCAGTTCATCGAATAAATCAGATAAATGATATTAAGAAATTAATATGAACTATATTAAAAAACTTTACTTTTGGTGAGGTAAGTCGGTTATTCTGAGATTGTTCTGTCAGACCAATCAGTTGTTTTCCTAGAAAGATCTGGCAACACTTCTCAAATCCTAACCACTGTAAGGATGTTTCTTTAAACTTTCCACATGCAGAGGCTGCATTAGGGAGGTACACGTGGGCATGTCTAGCTGTCATATCATGTGGGCGTAGAAAGTGGGCGTGTGAGGGTGGAACTTTCTGTGGAGGTTGCTCGTTTCCGCTGGATCTTTCTTCCATATGGAGATGTGTGGTCTTGAATCACTGCTCTAGAACGCAAACAGCTCTGAGGCTGTTACAGAAAAGGGTTTTACTAACGTGTAATGAATCACGTCCAGAAGACGGCTTCACATAATCCATTAATAAGACTGAATACAACCTTCAGACTCAGACATACATTTCATTCACCCTTAGGAGTGGATGAATACATCATTCTGACAAATCTGTGAAACTGAGTCACAATCACATGCTTAGAAAAAGAGCATGATAACTTGATGAATGTTTGAACTATAAATCACTGTGGAAAAACTCGCCGCTCAGCAGCATGTTGATGTGCTGTTTGTGTCCCTGAAGCCTGTGATGATTGTTGCGAGAGGCTGGGAGCCACAGAGGGACTTGAACTCCCAAGGAGAGGGTCAATTCATTTCCTGTCCCTGGTCCTACACAGCTGCTGATGCCATGTATCCCATGTCCTTGGATAACTATATCAAAGTTGACCCACAATTCCTCAGGGTTTTTCAGAGTATCAGAGTATTTCTGTGTAATAATATCAGTTTACAGATAATCTTCATATATTATATTATATTATAGTATTGTAATATATTGACATTTATTATATTAATAATGCTAACACTGCACAGTGCATTATATGCAAAAATGATGACATCATTCATCACTGCCTTTTTGTGGCAAGAACTAGTTTATGAATATGTAATAATAGTATAGGGAAAGTGAAAAAAACTTTTTGAAATCTTGTCTACTAAAAAAGAAAATCAAATTTTTAGTCCTTCTGATGTGTCATTATATTATATTATATTATTTTATTTTTCTATTTTTAATTCTATTTTTCTATTATTTATTCAGTCTGAAAATCAGTGACCTTTCCTGTCTTGAAATTCTCTCAACTGACTGCTCAACTCAACACGATCATAAAAATGACACACAATCTCGGCATCATCTTAACTAACAGAAAATGATTATGGTTTTATTGACCAGGAAGGAATTAACTAAAAATATATATTGCAATCAGTAATAAGTTGGAACATTACACATGCTCTGAAAATACTATAACCTCTGTGGTTAAAGTCATTGTTGTAATCAAAGTTCTTTTAGAGTATTTATTGATATTTTGAACAGCTTTTATTTTTATATTTTAATTTTTCATTTTAATTTACGTTTTAGCAATTTTGGCATTTACTTGTTTGCTTTAATTAAATTGCCTTAATATCTATTCAGTTTTAGTAGTTTCAGTACTTAAACTTATTTTTTAGTTACTTGCCAAGGAAACATTTCTAATTGTTTTTTGAGTTTAAGTTTTTATCTAAGTTCATCTGAAATATATTTTTCATTTTATTAAAGCTTTATTTCAGTTACCGGAAAGTATTTTAATAGTTTTAATTACCAATAACAGCACTGGTTGTATTGTATTGTATCTGCAGTCACATAAAATAACCATTTTGAGCAGCATCCAGCTTCATTGCCTTGAGATTTAACCAACTTCCTGTGAAAGCCATGAACAATAGGTACCCCTTGGGCCTCATAATAACCCCAAAATCATTCTTGAGAAACAGCTTATCTGGAATATTGGGCCTTTCTGGGAATGAGCTGTGGGTGTGTGGTCAAAATGAAGTGCTCCCAGGTAGGCGAACACAGTGCAGAGCAAGATTTGAAAACCACAATGACTTCTGCAGGAACTCTATATATGCATGCTATCTCCTGATGCAAAATTTATCCAAATGCCAAATTAACCCATGTAGCAATGTCATGCTTATCTGAAGCACAGTGTATACATTTGGCATCCACGGAGGAATTACGTGCCATAAACTCCAAGGCAAATGTTTTACAAGAATGACTGCTCTCGGTGCATGTTTTGTCAATTCACAGAGTGCTTCCCTTGACGTACACATACATCTTTTCACTCTCTGTTCTAGATGTTCCGCCCGAGTTCTCCACAACATGAATGATGGCAGCCTGAGAATTCTTCGCAAGTTCACTAGAGAGCAATAAGGAAAGGAAAAAGCAGGTGACTGATAGTATTTCCTCTGTCCTGATTACATACTCTTTATCTCTAGAGGCAATTGAAGAAAACAACAGAATGGAAATTACATTATAGCATGGGAGGAGATCTCTGCTTAAAAACATTCGCATACTAAATCAATAAAAATCTTATAACATAATAAAGTTCTTATCTGCATCCAAAAACACTTTGAACTCATCTTTGGATATGAGATGTGCAAAATTAAATTTTTATTGTCGTTTCTGTTAATGTTTTAGGTGTTGATTGCAGAAGATTGTTTAGTAGTCTGTCAAATACTGTAACCATTACTTTGACCTCTTTTACATCGACCTGAGTTAGTTTAGTTGGAGGAACCTGACAGGGCTGTTGAGTAGCTTTCTCTGAGTAAGTCTCTTTGTAACCAAGAGCACTAGTGAGCTTCACTTGATAGGCGGGGTCATGCAAACACACTGCTTGCCCCTGTCACTCCATGGCACCACTGTACTGCTGAATCTTACGCAATCTAAAAAATCTTTTGAAAGGAGATAAAATAACTGAGAGATTCAAGAATGCCGTTAGATGGACTTATATCAGAATATGATAAAGGTTTTTTTTTATGAATGTCACTAGAGATTTATGGCCTGGTTTCACATACAGGGCTTAGTTAAGCCAGGATTAGGCCATAGTTCAATTGGGATATTTAAGTATCTTTTATAAACGTGCCTTAGAAAAAATATTACTGGTGTGCATTTCATGAGTTCACGCTTACATATAATTAGCTAAAGTATGGTAATGCATATTTGGCGTGCTGTCCGGGGAAGGGCTCTGTGCTCGGGAATGGCCCGAACCTAGAATACCCCCGGAATACCCCCAAGGGCTAAGTATCTGACACGCTCCTCCCGAACCTTGTTAATAAAACATAATTTTGAGACAAATCAATAGTACTAACATATTTTAAGGTATGTCAGTGCAGGTTTCTTACAGTTAAAACAGAATCGACATGCATTTTAGTCTAGGCTTAAGCCTTATTTATGTGTAAATAAATCCAGCCTTGGTGAGCATAGGATATACATACATTGCATTACAATAACATTAAACAGGATCAATAAAAAAGTATCAAAAAGAACATGCTGTAAAAGTATTACACATTGTTATTTCATGCATGATGAAAACAGCCCCGCTTTCAGGATATGTTGTAAGACAAATTATAACAAAGTTGGACATTTGAATAGTCCCAAAGGTTGATTTAGAAATATTTGCATTTCATCATGTTCTGTGTATTGAACAAAGGTTGCTGGGACGTGTGAGGCTGCCATATGCATACCACTCAAAACTCCAATGACATAAACGGCTTGTTAACACATAAAAACATGTTGTTGGGCTTTTAATATTTAATGGAAAGGAAGTTTAAATCCACACAGGAGCTTCTTCAATAAATGAGCAGGTTTACTTGAGGGGAGCATTCATTTCCTACATCTCTGAATCGACCTTGAGTGGCGTGAGCAGCTGCAGAGACAGTAAGTGTGGTACTATCAACCATCCCAAGCGGGACCAAAGAGCAAACGGAAGTATAGATGTGCATTTTTATACCAAAGCAGCTGCTCATACAAAAAAGTGGTTGTATTATACTGATAACAAAAACATGAGGCAAAATGCTTATCTATTCCCCCTTTCATTCAAGTACTTTAGCTTACAAAATCACAACGGCCACTCTCAAGAGGGGTCTGGGACAAACACACACACAAACACTGAGCTCCAGTCACACAAATACAAGGGCATCCACTCTCAAGTCACGCACACTTTCCCAGGATGCTAAGGGAACTTAGACAAAGGGAGTCATTTAATTGAATAAGTGTGCTAGGAAGTAGCAAATGATTTGAGGACAAAAAAAAACTAATGATTTCACGGTAACAGAAACTATGAAAGGCCATTTAGGCTGGATCGTAGAAAGAAAAAAAAGAGGTAATTACTGCTGTTTGCCTGGGATTCGGCAATAGAAGGACGGGTCACTCAATTACCCATGGTTCCAGGCAACAGAAAGGGCATGAGGTTTGTTCACCCAGAAGGGTGGCTTCCGCAGAGCATTGTGAAGAAATGACCAGCACATTAATCTCCTCCAAAACTGCCTTTTTTTCTTTAGGCTGAGCTCCAAAGACTCAGACTCAGAGAGGAATACAAAAGAGGCTGATATAGGAATAAAAAAAGAGAGAACAAACTTCCATAGACCATTTTAAGGAATGGGGGATGTGTTTTGACTGCTAAAACACACTCATTTCAAAGTTAAATCATTATCCTAAAACAACAACATCTGAGATTAATTTTGTGCTTTTAAGGACATTTACATTAGCACCAAGGCATTACCAGGTCATCACTACATTTAAAAAATGTGCAAATAAATACCATAAAATAAAATCAAAAACATCAAAATGACCTGTTCCTGGTAAAATTATATTGTAACCCACATGACCAGTGGAGAAACAATTCAGCTCAAAATCTACAACATGACAGCTAGAGAGACAGAATTTCTGTAAAACAGTCATTCTTCTTGATAAAGAAATGTTTCTTGCACACCAAATCATCATATTAGAATGATTTCTGAAGGATAATGTGACACTGAAGACTGGAGTAATGATGCTGAAAATCAGCTTTCCCACCACAGAAATAAATAACATTTAAAACATGATCAATTAGAAAAGATATTTTAAATTGTAATGATATTTCACAATATTATTGTCCCCCCCCCCCCCCCCCCCCCCCACAGTAAAAGCAGCAATATTGTGAAATATAACAATTAAAATAACTACTTTCTGGTTTAATATATTTTACCCCCCGTATTTTTGAATCAAATAAATGCAACCCGGGTGAGCATACGAGACATAAAAAAAATCATGCTGACCATACTGTTGTGTTTATGGCTTTATTCTTACTGAAGGCCAAAAGAGATGGGAGAGTGGGAGTGACTAGTCGTGTGGAAAGGAGTATCCGGTTGTAAATATGGTCTGTCTATTTAGACCTACAGATTTCCTCGGAGGTCCCAGCCAGGAACTTGTTTTGGAATCCTGGAGGCTGCTGCTGCCTCAACACTCACCTCACAAGCTACATCCTGTGACTCACCATATCAGAGTCATGTTGAGCAGTAACACTGAGCAGTTCCTGGCCTGGCTTTTTCCTGATTCCATCAGTGGGACCTACATACATCAAAAGAATGGACGCAGATTTTCAGGATGCCACTCAAAGATTTAGACCATGCGAACTTTTTTAAGTTCAGTTTTTCCTTGGTCTTCCTGTGACTTATAGCTCGCCGTATTTAACCTTTTTAACTCCCACTCACCAATTTTTCAGAAAACCCACATTGCTTCCCCCGAACTGACCACAAAGAAAAACAATACTTCTGGATGGATAGTTTGCTGTTTCAGCTTCTGTTATGAGAGGAAACATGATAAGAACAATTTTATGCCATGAGTGGGTTATTCAACAGTTTTAGTTTAATAACATAATTTCACAATAAAGTGCCATTTTGAATGACTTTTGTGCCAGATACAAACCCTAATGACCCCTGCTGGGCATTAATATCTGTGAACCAGACTGGAGATTTTATAATCATACAAATTACAGCAAGGAAACACTCATATGAAAACATAGGTGTGCAACTTTTGAAAGTCGTGCAAATCAGAACGTCCATAGTGACATCACTAAACCTAGATAACTAACTAAGCATATCACACAGCCCTGTAAGAATGTGATTGTACTTCCAAAGGATAAAAAGCCTGCCTTTGTTTGAGTCAACAGCTGTGTATTATGAGTCACGAGGTTCTCAAGCTGAGCTCATGATGATGCATGCTGGTTTCGAGTGGAAATAATTTGTTCTTCGCTTTGGCCTTGCTGATCAGATGTCATAGCTAAAAGAACATATTCTGTTGGCTACTGCTCACATAAATAATCAGATTCATCTGGGCAATGCTCATGTTAGAGGTGGGAGCTAGCCGTCGTACGATTCATTACACAACCAGTGAGTTCAGTGTTCACCCTCCCTCACAGTCATAACAAAACTATGCTTGTTTAAAAGTGGCCAGTGTGCAGAGTGACGCAATGTGGTATATCCTGTATTTTAGACATTGTGGCAAAGAGAGATTATTTATTTGACAATTTGTGAGTCATTTAGGGCAGAGGTATCAAAATGCATCAAGTTTTATCCCTGGCTCTCTATATGAGAGAATGAAATAATGACTTCTACAGAGGGCCTTAACCACAAAGCTTAAGAAAGAGATAAAATCAAGTTTATTGAGCTTCACTGTTTGGACTTCAGTTTTGCCCCAACTGTACATTTCTGTTTAATTCCTTTGTACATACATTGAATCTACTATTTAAGAATGGTTTTACATACACTACCATGTAAAAAGTTGCATTTGCAAGATTATGCTCACCAAGGCTGCATTTATTTAATCAAGAATACAGTAAAACAGTAATATTCTGAAATATTATTATAATTTAAAACAACTGTTTTATATTTTATTTTAA